TCCTGTCATTAAGACTTATCTGTTGAAATATTTTCTCCTGAAATATCATGTTATGTTTTCAATTTATTAACAAGACAAATGAATCTGTGCCAAAGTAACAATTTATTTTCTTGGGCAATATATATTATGTTAAGTAGAATATAAACTTCTTAACTTTAAGGAAGGGCCTACTTTGGAAATTCAGGACTCTGAGAAGGTGAATAATGGGAAAATCAGCCCCCTAGATTGTCTCACAGAGGTGTGTGTGTGTGTGTGTGTGTGTGTGTGTGTGTGTGTATGTGTAGCTGAGGTGGTGGGCAGTGGAGAGATAGATGGAAAGGGGCTACTCTAACTAACTGCCTCCCCCAAGGGACCATCCAGTATCCTTTCTCTTGAATCATGTATAAATAGAATCATTCAATACTTAACTTACAAATGCCCCAAAGGTGAGTAACACCAGAAGAGTTAGTCATTAATATGCATTTTAGGTTTTGTTGCAAGAGCACAGGTAGACAGAATTTAGAAGTCAATTTGACCTTTTCTTTTAGCAAGTAGAAGGAACTCTAGAAGAATTCTCCTATCATTTACACAGTCCAAGGAATGACATATTAAACCAAGGTTCTGATTTGCACCATAAGAACAACTAGAACTCTTGAATAGTAACTTACATATACTGGTAAAATTTGGAACCTCTTTATCAGTGGTAAGAGAGCCAAAGGGACATGAGTAAGGGATGGTTTGTTATACACTCACTGTGGAAAGGGGAAAGCTAAGGCACTAAGGGTATGTTCCCACTGCCTCACTTGAGCATATCTTTTTATAGAATTCCTGACCTAAACTTTCCCACTGATTTGTGATAATGGTGGAAAGACTGAAAATAACCAAACATAAATTCTATTCTATTTCCCCTTCTCAAAGCATCAAACCAAGGAAAAGCTCTCAAAAGAAGTTTCCCATTAAAAATATGCACCAATACATGACCATTTGTTCACATATGGTTAGTGATTTCCTTTATAAGTAACTGCTTTGTCATTTCAAAAACCCACTATGCATTCACACTTCTTGAATGTTTCTGTTCATAAGATTTTATTTTACCAAAAAAAGGGGATTTTATTTTACAATTTAACCTACCTTAGGCAGAAAATGTAAATGTTAATTTTATATTCAAAGTGTACAGATTGAATATATTCTTCTAATATTATATGCTTTGTAGAACAGAAATTTATCTGGAATTCCAAACTTAAGAAATGAGTGAATCAAGCTGGTATTCTCAGGAACTTCTCAGATTTGGAGACCCTCCACCTCTCTAAGCTGCTTTCTTGGCCCTGCCACTAGGCCAGAGGGGTTCTTATCTCTATTTCACATGTGATGGCTAAATGCTGCCAATTGATCACAGTAGATAATGACAATGTACTGTTGAGCTACTACCATTTCCATGCRTATGCTAGTAATACACGGAGAGCAATTTAGTTACTTAACATCCAAATAAATTTTGCCAATAACTGATGCTCAGTGAGCAGTAGCCAGGTGACTGTGGTTCCCAGAACAAATGGAAAGAATCTCCTTTACTAGGCAATCATCAAYCCTTGCTATTTATTTCCTCCTATCCAAGTGTGTAACAGTAAGAAAGAATACATGCAAAGAGGGCAATAAATTCAAATAATGAAAAGCGGGGGGAAATTGTCTTGACTGTAAAAATAGATGTATAAAAGTAGCTTGAAATCTTCAGCCAAATTGAGGACTAAATCTATTTACTAAAACTTTAGAGACTATTATTTATAAATATGAATCTGGAGAAAGACAAGAAGGTGGCAAATTTTTTGGCACCAAAATCCTTTCAGCACCTTTATGTATTATTAGTGCTTTGCATACTATAATACTTTTAAGTTCTCTACCATATTCGTTAAAGGTTTACCTTTTTTTCTTTTTAAAGAAAAACGTTTGTTTTTGAAATAAAAAGTAATGGAAAAATGTACTCAAATGTACTCAAGAGAAACTTCTAGAAAGGAATCTGTGCATTTAGGAAGAATATTTGTATTGTCATTTTCTATGATTCTTCAAGCACTTGGTTTAATTTATCTTCTTTTTCCCTTCAAAATCTGTACATGAAAATTCCTTTTTCTACAGTTATTTTATAAGATAGAAAAATCTGCTCTTATAGAAACCTTTGGGAGTGAGGAATGAAATCAAACAGGGGAAAATAATTTATTCTTAAATTCCTGAAGCTGAAACAGGATGACAAAGCAGCTAGGGAGATGTGAAAACGGCCCAGGGCGTTGAGGAGCTGGTGGTTGGGTCAGGAAGGTAGGGTTTCCTGCTACCATTGACTAGCTCTTTCACAAAGCAGAAGTATTTTTTTTTCCTCTCCCTCTCCTTATGTTCTTACTCTTATGTGTTTTCAAGATCAGTTCAAACCTAGAAAACATGCTTGTCATTTACCCAGAAACTGAAAGAAGATGGGGTAGGGGGTGCCCTTCAGTGCAGATAGTCAAAATGCAGACAGATCAAAAGCTAAATCCAATTTAACCCACCTCAGGCAGAAAATGTAATTGAATTAAACTTCCTCTAAATATGATAAGTTTGGGGCTCTTAAGCCAGGCACAAAGACCTGGGTTAGAGTGAGCTGCTCAGTAAATGGATGCATTGAGCTCTAGCTGCCCCACCCACGGGGAGTTTGATAAGCTGTTGATTGCCTCTATCACTTTACTACCAGGCTGAAAACTGATTAAGCTGCTTATGGGGCTCCGGGGGCTAATGGCCTGGCCACCAAGAACACCACCAGCACTGATTTAAGCAAGCTGCTTGGCACGTATGGTTTGATTATTATAAGGGGAAAAAAGAAAAGAAGAAGAAAAAGACAGCAGGGTACAGGAAAGCCTTAAAAAGCAGGTTTTATTATTCCAAACGGGCACACACTACTTTGATACCCTAAAATGAATATGGAATTACTCTGATTCTTTCTCTTCATCTAATATCAAAACTCGTTTCTGAAAGGCTTCCTCAAAGAGTATTCACTTTGGAGCCACCCATTCTATTTTAAACCACCTTTRCAAGAATGTTTGGTGCCTTTAAACCCACTTCTCAAGTGATAGAGTCTGGGTCCTCATACTATGATTAGAGGGACTGCTAAAAAGTAACAGGAAATGCACATTGAGTTTTTCAGCTGATTATTATTCTTGGAACACCACAGCATAATTGTAATTAAAAATATACCCCTATCCAGTGCAGCCAGTGCAGTAAAGCTTGCTTGAGCAGTAAAGAACACGCAGGACTGAAGGAGTTGGAGCAAACTGATATGTTCCAGTAGGTTTGAATCTGACACAYGAGTGGAAATTAAAGCCCCAGGCTTCTCTCCGACCTCTTCAACTAAATGTTCTAAAATTATTTCTGTTATTTAAAATAACTTTCTTGGGCTGGGGCTATAGATCAGTGACAGAGCACTTGCCTTGCACGTGTGAGGCACTGGGTTCAATCCTCAGCACCACACAAAAATAAACAAATAAAATAAAGATATGCTGTCCATTTGCAACTACAAAATTTTTTTTTTTAAAAAATAATAAAACAAAATAACTTTCTTACCTGCAGAGGGACAAAGAACACAAAAGTCTTCAGTTTTTTTTAATGAAAATACACACACACACACACACACACAAAAAAAAAAAAAAAAAAAAAAAAACACCTTAAAAAAGAATTTCAAGTTTGAAGAACACCCAAAGGATATGAACACAGTTTTAAGTGGATCTCATTCCTTCTGGGCGAAACAACCAGAGAGGAAAACAACAGAAGATCAGAATCACAGTAGTTTGAGATATTCGGAAAGTTGTCACAATTGCTTTTTAACTGACTCTTGAAAGAATCAGTACATATAYAGAAGGAAAGTAATGTTTTCATTTGGTGTCTGACAGCTTCTTAGGGAGTAAGATGTTGATTTAAATGATTAACCAAAACTTAACATACTCAGAACTTAGGGCTGGACACACAAAACCTTAGTTTCTTCCTGGCTGCAAACCTGGTCAACCATTAAAAGGACATGTACTAACAAAAGTATAAAAATGATTTGACTCTTAAATGTTCTGTTGTGTTTTATTAAACTTTAAAAGTCATTCATCTGTTTGGCTTGAGCACAATCATTGGCTTAACACATGCAATCATTAAGTTTTTCATCTTTTTTCTTCACATTAAAAAAAACTGAAATAAAGTCACATGCCAGAAAATTCACTCTTCTAATGTAAACAACTCACTGATTTTTAGTATCCATGATTGTGCAACCACCATCACTTATTCCAGAACCCTTTTATCACCCTCCAAAGAAACCCCACATCCACTAGCAGTCTCTGTTTATCCCTCTAGCTCCCCAGATCGTAGCCAACACTATTTTCTGTCACTATGAATTTGCCTATTCTGAATATTTCATTTAAATAGAATCATAAAATACAAATGATTTCTTATCTGGCTTCTTTCWCTTCACATGATGTTTTCAAGGTTTGTCCATGTCATAGCATGTATCAGCACTTCACTCCTTTGGATGGATGGATAATATTTTATTGAATGGATAGACACATTTTGTTCATCCATTCATTAGCTGATGAACTTTTGGTCTCTTCCAGTTTTTTTGCTGTTATGAATAATGCTGCACAAAATAGTTTTGTGCGATTTTTTATGTGAATTTATGTTTTTAAGTCATGTCGGTATATACTATGGGGAGGAATCACTGGGTCATATGGTAAATCTATGTTTAACTTTTTGAAGAACTGCCAACTGTTTTCCAGAGTGGCTATACTACTCACATTCCTACTAACAATGCATGAGAGCTCCAGTTTCTCCACTTTCTTGCCAATAATTGTTATTGTCCTATAGTATCTTTTTATACTGTTTTTTTCCCTCCCATTTTGAACAGAAATTAAGTATAAGGGATTGTGATGAACATGACCCCAGTGATGGCAGGACTCGGTGCCAAGACCATAATCAAGAGACAATTCCCTAGAAGAAAATGAAAAATGCAATGGCCCCTCAGCACTTACCTGCTGCAGGTCAGCCAGGGAATACAGGTGGATCTGTTGAAGGAGGTATTCTCTGGGGAAAATTCTGAAAAAAGGGCAGATACATAAGTGAATTGTGTTGCCGCAAGACACCTTTTCTCATAAATTTCAAAGTCTTATTCAAGAATTCTTATTCTCTGACTTCTTGCCTTTCTACCCCTACTCTCCAAATCTTTTTTTCCAAATCTATTAAGAAACTCACAATAATTTCTTTTCCTCAAATATTTTTCTAACATAGATCCCAGAATGAAAAGAAATGGCAGTATGAGTTTCATTGTCATTGTTGTTTCCCTTTCCCTCTCCCTTTTCTCCTTCTCCTTCTCCTCTTTTCTTGTGGTCCTGGGACCTCACACATGCTAGGCAAGCACTGTACCACTAAGCTCCATCTCTAGACCTGGTCTTTCATTTTTACTGTAAATACTACAAGTACTGTGAAATGGTCTAGACCTGAGGACCAGGGCATTAGTTTTCCCATACCAGCTATGTCCCTAAAAAGCTGTATGAACTAGGGCAAGTTCCCAAGCCCCAGAAACTTCAGCTTCTGCACTATATAATAAGGGTGACTGAAACTGAAATCTCTCCAAATATATTTCTAGCTGTAATACTGCATACCTAAATTAATTTCAGAGTTTAGGAACACTGGATTAACAACCCACATGTATGTCAGAACCTTCTATGGTTTTCATTAATAGGGAACTGTGGTACTGATATCACATTAATGAACTATCCTTTAAATGTATAGTGATGGTAATATTTAAAACCTAAGTGCAGATGAGAATAATGAGTGTTACTGTTTGGATTTGGAATGTCCCCCACAGGCTCATGAGTTGAAGGTTTGGTCCCCAAAGCATCAGTGTTCAGAGGTAAGGCTGGGAAGTGATGAGAGCTGTATCATCAATGGATTAGTCCATTGAAAGGTTCAGAATTGAAAGGACTGTTGAGTGATGGTGGAAACTAGAGAAGGTGGGGCCTATTTGGRGGAAGTAGATCACTAGGGGCACACACTGGAAGAGTATATCTTGTCGCTGGTCCTTTTCTTGTTTTCTCCCTTTGCTTCACAGTCAGCATGAAGGGGGCAGCTCTGCTGCACCATGCTCTTGGTCATGATGCTCTGCYTCACACAGGCCCAGAAACATGGAGCTGAATGACTATGAATCAAACCTCCCAAACTATGAACCAAAATAAGTCTTTTCTCCATCAATTTGTTTTTTTCAAGATTTTGTCATAGTGACTAAAAGCTGATTAACACAATTAAAAAAATATATTAAAAAGGGGCWCTCGAACAAAGTTCATATCTTTGCTATTGTCAATTTACTGCATCTGGAGAGATGACAGTGTGTGAACAGGAAAAAAAATTGATCTGGGGATAATAGTACACATCTATAGTTCCAGTTTCTTGGAAGGTTGAGGCAGGAGGATTACAAATTCAAGGCCAGTTTTGGCAACTTAGTGAGTCCCTGTCTCAAAACAAAAAATAAATACTTGGGTTCAATCCCAAGTACCTAGCATGTATTAGGCTCTGGGCCCTGGGTTCAATCCTAAGTACTGCAATAMATAAATAAATAAATAAATTTTAAAGAAATGGATAATGAGCAAGCAAAAAAGTACCAAAGTATAGATAGTTGTAAAATACCACACATACTTGAAACTCATGGTGCTGGCATTTTCTTTGTCTAACATGTTACTATGCAATTATCTTATTATTAATGAAAAAAAGCCAACTCATTCAGTTAACGTTTATGACTGTCCATTACATGTCAAACACTATGCCAGTCATTAGGGGGATATCTGTGAATAAGATCTGAGTTCAAGAATCGGGAAGCCGAGTGAGGGCAAGGCATAACATGGATATAGAAGACGGTAAGAGTTGTGCATGGAGTACATACTTCTGGACTGATATAACGTGTGGATTATAACCCTGGCTGTCTATTAGAATCCCTCAGGGAGCTTTTGAAAATGACAGGGCTTATATATGTGTAGAGCCCAGAAATCAGTACTAAATAATAGAACAAAACAACCTCCATTTGCAATAACACATGACAAAGATGATCAAGAGACCTATTCCTATGGTACCTTATAGTGTTAAGCACTAAGAACAGTAAAAGAAGCCCATTTTGGGCTTGGCACTCAACACACGTCATTTCATTCAGTCCTGACAATAGTCCTGAACATTAAGTATAAGTTCTGTCTCACATATGAGGAAATGGGCTCACAGGCATTGACTTATTTGCCCAGGGTCACAAGCTGGGATTCAAGGCCAGGATTTCTGAGTCCATAGGTCTCCTTCCAGTTTCCTGGGGTTGGGGGTGGAAGAAGGAGGGAGGGAGGTATGAGTTAACCATTCTATTTAGCWACAGCATGCATATCTCTTCCAGATATATGTTTGTTACTCTTTAGGCCAGTAGCAGTATAATCAAATGACTTTTTTGAAGCAGTCAAAATGCACTTTATTGTGCCCTCTGAATTCAGTAGGGAGATGGAGAGACTGTAGGCAGTTATACCTGACAAGGTCTTACATGTTTTTAATGACAAGTAGTGAAAGAAGTGGGGGATTGGTAGACACAAGAGGCTTTTGGAAGAAGAATTAACAATGTTTAGAATGGGTGAGGAGAAAGGAGTTGAAGGTGGCTGAAGTAGGCTGGTGTGGGTGATAGAATGGTGGTGCCATTGGCCAATGGAGGGCAGATTGTCAAGGAAGAGGACAACCAAGTAGAGTTTTATACATGCTGAATATTGAGTGCTTGTGTAGGGGACAACAAGTATGGATGAGTGTGTGAGGGATGCAGAAGAGACAGGGCACTACTGGCATCAGCATACACTGACAGCAAAAGTAGTGGGGATGGATGAAACAGACCAAGAGAGAGTTAACAGGAAGGGGACTGAGCATGGACAAGGGTCATCTGTTTTTAATTTGTTTACTTTACAATATCCAGAACTATCTAAAAGTATACTTTAGTGGTCTTCAACTTTTCTCATGCTTGAGAAATACATTTTGCAAAGAATCAGGACTGGATATGTATTTGAGTGTCTAAATTTCCTCTTTATGTGTAACATGTTCACATCTTTATACCCTTTATCCAGCTTCACTCAAATGTTCACATCTTATATAACCATGGAATGCTGGTCAAAACTCAGATATTAATTATTATATTTATTATATTTACACTTCATTCAGATTTCATCAGTTGTTTCACTAATGCCCTATCTCTGTTTCAGGATTCAGTCTGGAATATAACAGAACATTTAGATATTATTGTTTTATTGCTGTTGTTGTTGAATGTATTAAAGCATTTGCAAGGCAACTTGAGACTCAAACATATGTGCAGAAAAGGAAACCGAGGACAGTCTTTCAGAGGGACTCTGAGGGTAGTAGTATACGATGTTCAAGTATGGGGGACAGGGTGATTGGGAGTACATGAATGTGAGGAATAATCTTTTTGAAAGGTAATTGATAATGAAAATCCTTARGTAGAGTAAAATGAAAGTGATGTGGTAGCATACTAAGAAACAGCAACATTGTGATTCAAATAAGTGGCTGAACTGTCATTCAAGATTAGCTCCTACCTCTTCTTTTGGTTTTCAGGAAGACAAGTCAGCTGGACAGAGTCAGAAGGGAGATGACTGAAATAATCTATAGCAAGGACAAATGGAAGGCAGCATATCTGTTAGGTTTTGCTACTTAAAATTTTCTCTACTCTAAAATCTCTACAAATTTCTAAAATGTCTATATCTTGTATGTAGAATACAAGAATTATTTGCAAATTTACAAACCAAATCCTACTGGCATGCCCTTTATGCTCTAGATAACTAGGGTACTAAATTATCCAATCAAACAATACTTACTGGGTGTCTAAATAAGCCAGGCCTGTGTCAGGCACTGGAGATGGATTCTTCAATGCACATAACTGATGAGCAAAAAAGAGACTTTCCATTTTCTCCTTTCTGGGTCCTTCTTACTTCCAAACATTGTTCATTATTGTTTTCACAATAACTAACTCACTTTGAACATGGCCATCTCTAATACTCCTTCAACACTATTTGTACAGGTGAAGTTAGCAATATATTTATTTAATGTTGCTAAGCGTGTAACTATATCTCATGYATGTTTATTTTCCCTCTCCCTTTCCAAGAGCTTCTAAGTCTCTCCAAGAACACTTTGTCTACTGTCTCCCTTTATCACTCTTCAATGTCTAGTACCATAATTTATATGAGGTTGATCATGATAAACCCAAAGAATTGGAAAATGTAATATGTGCAGAGAAGATAAAGGAACCAAGCTTATTGTGTCTGGAGAAGATGTTGTGTCCAAAAGATTTAGTGACAACCATTAAAAAACAGACTTTTAAGATAGATAATGCCAATCAGCTCTTCTCCCTGGAGGAAGGAAGTTGTGGCATAAAAGCACTGAAGTCAAATGGAAGAATAAATTTCCTGAGAGGGACAACTGGGAAGTATTAAACTGTGTCTCTTGTAGTGATGCTTTTTAATGTAAATAAAAGAATAAAAGAGTTTTCTGCACCTATTTAGAGGTAGGGTCATGCTCTTCTGTCAGAGGAGGTTACAGTTTCTAAGGCAAAGCTCACTGTCCCTTGTTTCTCTTGTCCCTGAGGCAGACTGAATTTGTAATATATTCTCTGAGTATCTTCTTCAGGCAGGCCAACCACAGGGGTAGGCAGGGCAAATAGGGACATAAAAATCAAATTCAGGAAAAGGTTGACCATGGCAACTTCCTTTTTTGGTGACCCAGGGCTCTTCCCTGCTGTGAATTAAGTTCTACAAGTTGGCCCATCAGACAGGAACCCTTGGTGAAATGGACTAAACAAGCTGGGATTCCCTAGGCCTCTTCTTCAGAACTCTGAGTAGTAGAAGGGGTTGGGAGAAACCTGAAGGCTCAGGCCTGTTCAGGTAGAATTAAACTGCCGGAGGCAGATCTGACAAGAGAAATATGGGGCTCCCAAGGGACATAGTCACTTCAGGGACCCTGCTGGGGAGCAACCATTCATGTCTGGGATGCAAAGCTTGGTGTTCCCTTAAGATAGTCATGTC